TGGCACTATCTCAGTTCACTGTAACCTCTGCCTCTCCAGGCTCAGGAAATTCTCCTGCCTCAGCCTTCCTAGTAGCTGGGATTACTGGCATGCACCACGATATCCGACTAATTTTTGTATTTTTAGTAGAGATGGGGTTTCACCATGTTGGCCAGGCTGGTCTCAAATTCCTGACCTCAATTGATCTGCCCGCCTCGGCCTCCCAAAGTGCTGGGATTATAGGCCTGACCCACCACATATGACCCTGTGTGTTTTATGTATGTTTCTATATGTTATATTTCACAATAAACTAAATATTAAAACAAAGAATAACTGATAGCTCTGCACAATCAAAGGCATTTAAATTTCACCCTCAAAAATAATTTTTTTTTTTTTTGAGACGGGGTCACACTCTGTTATCTAGGCTGAAGTGCAGTGGCACCACCTTGGTTCACTGCAGCCTTGACCTCCCAGGCCCAGGCGATCCTTCTACCTCAGTCCCCCGAGTAGCTGGGACTCTAGGCACACTGCACCACACACCCCCCTCATTTTTGTATTTTTGGTAAAGATGGGGTTTCATCTTGTTGACCAGGCTGGTCTCGAACTCCTGGGATCGAGGAATCCACCAACCTTGGCTTTCCAAAGTGCTGATATTACAGGCGTGAGCCACTGCACCTGGCCAAGAATTGTTTCTTCTCCTTACCTAGGTAGAGACTTCTGCAGAAATGCTGGGAGATCTTTGGAGAGGGAAGATATTTCAAATAAAAAGTTTAATACTTGGCCGGGCATGGTGGCTTAAGCCTGTAATCCCAGCACTTTGGGAGGCTGAGGCGGGCAGACCACGAAGTCAGGAGATCGATACCATCCTAGCTAACACGGTGAACCCCATCTCTACTAAAGAAATACAAAAAATTAGCCAGGCATCGTGGCAGGCACCTGTAGTCGCAGCTATTGGGAGGCTGAGGCAGGAGAATGATGTGAACCTGGGAGGCGGAGCTTGCACTGAGCTAAGATCGTGCCACTGCACTCCGGCCTGGGTGACTGAGCAAGACTCCATCTCAAAAAAAAAAAAAAAATTAATACTTTGGGAGGCCAACGCAGGTGGATCACGAGGTCAGGAGTTCAAGACCAGCCTGGCCAAGATGGTGAAACCCCGTCTCTACCAAAAATACAAAAATTAGCCAGGCATGGTGGCAGGTACCTGTAATCCCAGCTACTCAGGAGGCTAAGGCAGAACTGCTTGAACCCGGGCGGCAGAGGTTGCCGTGAGCCAAGATAGCACCACTGCACTCCAGCCTTGGCAATAAGAGTCAGACTCCATATAAAAAAAAAAAAAAAATTAATTGATCTAGTTCTAAACCTCATTTTGAATCCACCCATATTACTCTGAAATACATTGATCTTTCCTGTGGCTAAAACCTTAAAGATTAGCCAGTAACTCCCATTGCACTTGAAGAAATCCAATCTCCTGGCTGTGGCCCCTCATTAGGCTGCTGTTGGCCGACCTCGGTGCCTCTAGTTTGTGTACAACGCATATGTCAACTTATAATACATCATACAAGGCTTTTTTAACTCTAAAAGGCTTATTCACTAGTTGCTGTGTGAATCAGTATTTCTGGGTATAATTAGAAATTATCAGAGTTGATGCCCAAGAATCATCTCAACCAGCACGGGGGAGGCATCTGTTCCTTTTATGGTCAGTGACTCTGGGCCTCCTTCTGCTGGGCTCAGTCCTGAGGTGGGTCTGACTCAGCTCAGAGCTGTGCAACCCTAGTCCTCCTCTCAGCTCAGAGCTATGCACCCCTCGTTCTCCTCCCCAACTTGCTTGAGTGCTCTTTAGGATGGGGCTGAACACGGCCTTCTCGAAACCACTTGGCTCCACCACAGGCCCTGAGAACTGATTGGGTCACTCTGGTGGGCTCCCCAGCCCTAGCCAAGAAGGGTTTCCCTAGGGAGACTGCCCCTAACTCATGAAACCTGGAGCCCCAAAGATCCTGACCAAGGGGTTGCCTCCTCCAGGGAGGGGCCACTCGCCCCCACCCAGCTCCCTTCACAGAGACCCATCCGACA